CCCCCCTCGGGATCCCCCCTGCATTTCCCCTTTACCACCCCCTACCCCCTTCAGGACCCCGCCCCGACGGGGGAGGAGTCAAAGGGAAGGGGCTTCCCTTCGACTCGATTACGACATTGCTAGATTTTTCTTTCGCTGACAGGCTTGTGGAGGAGGGTGCAGGGAAAGGGGACGACGGAGACGTCGACTGACGGAGACGACAACTCGGCCAGACAAGCCTCTCACACATGCCGACAGGTCGGCGGATTTTGTGCTACATGTTCGAGTCGAACGTGCGTCTCCAACCGAGGTGTATTGTATTAGTATGTCCTTCTGCGTCCCATCCCTCCTCCTCGAGCCCTCCACGAGCGAATTCGTCAAAAGGAATTGTGTGCCCGATCAAATCTGAGCGGAGAGGGTCCAGTTGATGGCGGAAGTGGCTACTGGGTGAGGGCCAAAAATGACACTTGGCGGAAACCTGGTCCGCCTCTTGGCGCTTGTCTTATCTTATCCTCGATCGGCGCGCCAGCTGACGCCGACCCTGGGGAGCGGGAGACTCTGTCCACATCCTGGGTAGTGGGAGGAGGAGGAGGACGAGGAGGACAGAGGAGGAGGAGGAGGAGGAGGAGGAGAAGGAGGAGGAGCAGGAGGACGAGGAGGAGGAGTAGGAGGAGGAGGAGGAGGAGGAGGAGGAGGAGGAGGAGGAGGAGGAGAGGAGGAGGAGGGGGGGGAAGAGGGAGGGGAGAGGAGGGAGGGGGCTGGCGCGTCGGTGGGCATGCTGGCCGATGCCGCGCCTCCTCGTCGAGCCTGGCTGCCGGCCGAGACGCCGGGCGCCCCTGCAGGAATTCCTGGCTCGAGCGGCGAGGGGCGCCCTCTTACGGGGGGGGCGCCCCTCTCGGGGGGGGGGAGGTCGGGCTGCGGGGGGCCGCCTGCTGGCCCCCCGGCCCGCGCAGCGGCGCCGGGGACAGGCTGGCCCCCTCCTCCTGCCTCCTCCCGCCTCCCTGCCTCCTCCTGCCTCCCTGCCTTTCTCCCTCCCTGCCTCAGTGCCTCCCTCCCCTCCTCGTCGTCGTCCTCCTCCTCCTCCTTCACCATGCCTTCTCCTTTTATGAAGAACTCCGTCCTCTCGCACCCCGAGGCCAGTTGATTCGCCTGAGAGTTCCTTACCATGTATGAACCTCAAGCTCAACAACTGGCAACAGTTTCACGGATTGAGGGCGGGCCGCTTCCAAAACGATTTCAAGAGTTTGGCTGATTGAGGACAGGATGATTTCGTAATGTGGCTCTCGCCTTAGCGCCGCGCGCATTCGTGTAAACACATTGCAGTGGTTTTACGGATTGAGGACAGTCTGTTTTCAACATGTGGTTCTCGCCTTAGCGCCTCGCGCATTCGTTCAAAAGAATTTTCTGAGTTTCATTCATTCTTATGGTGAAGTCCGCCGTCGCTGCACTTGGGGGGCCGAGGGCTGGGAATTGCGCTGTTGGGGCTCCCCGCCCTGGCCTACAGTGGAAACCCATGCCAAGAAACACCCTGGTTGCCTCCAGGGTGCCCTGGGTTTCTTGGGTTTCGATGGTCTTGCGACTGAGAGCGTGACGTCCCCGCAGCAGAAATCCGTGGACGCCCTGGGGTCTCTCAGGGTTGGGCTTCCTGTGGAGGGCCTCTTGTGGTCGAGCTCCTGCTGCAGCTCCCCACCGCGCGCTCCTCGCTGTGGGGGAGGGACCCTTCGAACCGTACTCTGGATGGGGTATGTATTATGTGTCAGGGTGGGGGTGATCAACCCGCCGACCGAGCTTGCCCAGTCCCGCCCCCTCCGTCCTCCTCCTCCTCCTCCTCCTCCTCCTCCGAGCCCCCCTCCATCCGTGCCGACGGCACGCGCCCAACCCCCCCAGCGGATTCCAGGTAGGGGGAATAGGTGGGCCCACTTCTCTGTCCTGCGTGGGGCGTGTCTCCTTGCGTGGGGTGTGTCTCCTCTCCTCTCCTCTCCTCTCTCCTTCCTCTCCTCGCCTCGCGGATTCAGGGGGGGGCGATTATGGACCCTGCGAACCGTCCACGTCCCTGGCCCCCCCCCCCCCCCCCCGGGACCGGCGAGGGCCCCTGGGCGGGGCTCGCCGTTGGGCCCCTCGGCGCCCGGGTGCTATGGGGCCCCTCGCCCCGGGGGTCTCTCGGGGTTGGGCTCCCTGTGGAGGGCCTCGCGCGGTCGAGCTCCCCGCCGTGCGCTCCCCGCCGTGCCCCTCCCCGCTGCGGGGGAGGGGCCCCTCGAGCCGCAGCAGTCCCTGGCCCACCCCCGGGGGACCGGCGAGGGCCCCCTGTGCGGGCTGCGCCGCGGGCCCCTCGGCGCTCCCGTGCCACTTGGGCCCCTCGCCTCCCTGGCCCCCCCCGACGGCGTGCAGCCCCCTTCTGACGGCGTGCTCGTGCACTCGTCTGCCGCTTTGTTTTGTTTTGTTCGTTTGTTTGTTGTTTTGGTTGTTGTTGTTTTGAAGTATGATCTCTCTCTCTCTCTCTCCTTTCTATGTGTACTACTACAGTCATCATGACTGGTATCATTGTTATTATGAACATAATTAGGATTTTTAGTATTATTATACGTATGATTAGTATTGTCTTTAGTATTGTGATTGTCATTCGTATGTGTTATCATTCTCATTCTTGGAAGTAATTTGTTTTTATTGTATTATTTGACTTGTTGTGTTGTTGATGTTTTTTGTTCGTTGTGACTTTGTTTGGTTTTTGCTGAAAAGCAAACTCCGCTGCGGCACCTGGTGGGCCGTCGGCTGGGAGCGCCCAGGCGGGGACTCTCGTGTCCATCCCATCCGTCCGTCTCCCCCCGCGGCCGTCCGCTGTCGCTCCTCGCTCCCCGCTTCTTCTTCTTCGCTTTGCTTGGCCCTCCTTTCCCTTGTCTTGCTGGCCCTTGGTCTTTTTCATTCTGGCCTGATTTGGCCCTGCGATCGTGCGAGTTCCTTGACCGCCGCTTCAGCTCCCGCTGGCCCAGCTACTCATTGGTCCTAAACGTACTCTTACCCGGGGCCAGCCTGGGTGAAAAGGGCCGTCCGCTGGATTGGGCGCTTGCCACTGCGGCCGATCAGCCTGCCGCGTGCGCGCTGCTTCAGCATCCGCGCGTCGCGACGCAACGACACGCTGAATGGCTGGTTGTTTGATTGCAGCGTCGTGCCCTGGTTTGCGTCAGGGACGTCTGGGGACATCGGGGGTGTCCGCGGGGAACAGCATTGGAGTGGTGGTGCCTGTCCCGTTTGGGGACGCGCACCACCACTCCGTTGCGTTTGGGCCTGCCCGCCAGAGCGTCGTTGCAATCTCACGCTCCCCCGGGGGCCGCTGCGGCCGCGCTCGGGAGAGCTCTCGGGGGCCGCGCATGCGCCCGAAAGCGGTTTCGGCCAGACGCAACCTCAATTAGGTACGGGTATGTCTCCGGGGGTACCATCAACGCGCGTCGGCGACGGTGCCCCCCGACACGTACCCGGACCTAGCTGGGGTGACGCGAGGCGGGTTTTCCAGGGAGCAGCCCCAGGCGACCGCGCCTGGCGTTCGGGGCCCCAGGCGTTTGGGGCGAGCGTGGGATTGCAACGGCGCCCGCCCAGGACACCCAGGGCGCATGTTGCGCGTCGAGCCCCAAACGCTTGATTGTGTGCCTTCGTGGGCACACCTCCGAACGAGCTATTCTAGCCCGAGAGCGACCAATGCTTGGTCGGCCACTTTGCCGATTGGAACGCACGCGCCTTCGGTGCCAGCGGATGCCCGGAGAAGACAGCGTCCTGTAATGTTCCATGGGTCGTCGCATCTGCAGTTGTGCAACCGCCGTCGGCTGCGGCGCGTCGCCCCCCCGCCCCTTTGCCACCTCGCGCGGGTAAGGGTACGGGTGTCTTTCGCGCTCGACGAGAGCTACTGCTTGGTCCTGCCCCGTGAAGGGCCGATTGCTTAGCCCGCGCTTGCCCAGCGCGCGTGCTGACGCCCGGAAAGTATGTGTGTATGTATGTGTGTTCACCCAGCCATCCGGCATGGTGGCTGAATTCGCGTTCGTGCATCTACCAACGCCTCATCGCCAGTGCAGTGTCTTTTCCGAGCCGCCGCCTGAAAACATTTGTTTACCCAGCCCATTTCCGCCGATACCGTGTGGCGGCCCTCACTACTTTGCCTGCGTCGCGCTGTAGGGTTTCTGTGGGCAAGCACACGTTGTCTCTAAGACACGTTCCGGGGATCATCGGTCATCGTCGTCGTCCTCCCCCTCCTCCTCCTCCTCCTCTTCCTCCTCCTCCCGTTCCTCCTCTCCCTCCTCTGCGGGCCATCGAGGTTTCGCCCCTCCTCTTCATTGGTTGGCGGCGAGCCAGAGTGGTTGCGGTTTCAGGGTAGGGCATTTTTGGAGGAAACTGTGAAGGCCGTCCGCCCTCTTCACAAAGCTGCCGCTCCCCCGCCCCCTCACCCCCACACTTTTTGAGAGGCGAAGGGGTATCAGAAGAATGTCCCCCCCCCCATGGCCTGCGCATTTCTGTTCGTTGCCGGCGTCGTCGTCGTCGTCCTCATTCTCTTCTTGCCTGCTTCTCACCATTCCCCTCCTCTTCCTCTTCCGTCGTCCGTCCTGCTCCCCCCCTGTGATCCGACGTCGCGAAAAATACCACATCGCGGAAAATCGCCCGTGGAACCCAGAACTTTTATTTTTCTGCGGCATTCCTCGAGTGGGATCGACCCCAGAGGGTCTCCAGGGCCCGAAACTGGGCGAAAACGCCTGTGCGTGACACACATTGCAGATTGCAGCGCCCAGGGCGCAGAGCCCTCCCACCTTCCTCCAGCTCCCCAGATCTCCGACGTGTCGTTTTTTTTCGCAGCGCGTATCTGGAGGCCTCGACCCTTTCCCTGGGACCGTCTGTACATCCCGAGTCGTTTCTAGGCGGTCTTGGGGCCCAGCGAGGGTCCCAAGAGCCTGAAAACTACAAAAAAACCGCCCGTCGTGATTCTTCTGTGACCCGGGGGGGGGGGGCTGGGTCCCCCGCAGGCCTCGCAAGCGATGAGTCTATCCGTATCCGCGCCTTCGCGGTCTGGATTCCAGGGCGCGATCCCGCGGCTGCGCGGTCGCATGGATGTGTTCCGCGTGGGGCGTCCGCGAACAGACCGCGGCCCAGGGGCCAGCCCGCGACGCCGCAGGCACGGATGCGTCCTTCGCCCACGAAGGCCAGCTTCGCCCGCCCGCGGTGACCCCTCTGGGCGGACGCCCGGGGCATGCTGGACGCCGGCAGCTCCTGCACGGGCTGGGCGGGCGCCTCGGGGGAGCCTTCCAAGGCCCTGCCGGCCCCGCTGGTCGACGGGCACGGGGACGCCTCCATTCTGCGGTTCCAAGGGGGGCCCTGAGGGCGAGGCCCGGAGTCGTCGGGCGACGGGGCCGATGCATATCCACTGCCCCAGGCCTGGCCCATGCGCATTGCTCCTGGGAGCAGTGGATGTGCCAGGCCTGGGGCAGTGGGGACGTGCACGAGTCTCGCTGCCCCGGGTCGAGACGAGAAATAACGCAATAGAATAAGCCTTCGGAGGTCGGCGCGCATTTCTAGGATCGGCGTTGGGCCCCCCTGGCGTCGCCTCCGGCGCCGCTCTTGGCGCGCTCCGCGCGTCGGGTAGCGGGACCCTTCGCAGATCCAAGACATCCGCGCGGATTTCCGAACGTTTATGTTTATGCGGATTTTCTTCTTTCTAAGACAGTAAGTGAAACGTCACGACGGGAGGTTTTTGGCAATTTTTGGCTTTCGGGGGCCCTCACTGGGCCCCGGGACAGTCAGAAAATGACTCGGGATGAAAAGCCGGTCCCGTGGAAAGGGGTCCAGTGTCTGCGTTGTGAAAAATACAGCGTCAGAGATTCAGGAAGGGCAGGAAGTGGACCCCAAGTCGAAGCCTTTTCTGTTTGAGGCCACTAGTCTTAGAGGGCCGCATCCCTCAGACATTGAATGCCTGGCCTGAGATCCCTGTCCCATCCTTACCATGCGCAGCGATAGGGGGGATATGCTAATGGGGGGAATACATCGACCCCCAAATGCTCATTCATCGCCGATAATTCAAAGGCCAGATAGTGCAACCGGTCTAGGAACGTGCTGCTTCGCTATTGGGGGCCCATCGGCCTATCGCCGATCCGTCTGCGATAGATCGCCGAAATGCTGGTTCCCGCCCACTGTTCACCCTGATCTCCAGAGATCCGATGCCTTGATCTTTCCAATACGGGCTCCGCGGAAGTCCCGATCCCTGCCCTGGGACGGGTTCTTCGTTCCGAGTCGTTTTGTGACGGCCCCAGGGCCCGGCGAGGGACCCCGGACACCGAAAGTCGTGAAGACCGCATCCTCGATTTTTTTGATGCGCTGGATGTCCGCCGACATCCGCCGATGTGTCTTTTCGAATCTCCAGAGGTCCCGACCGCTTCCCCAGAGGCCGGACGCACGTCTGACGGCCCCAGGGCCCAAGAACGGGCCCCAGAGGCCGAAATCGAAGAAGACCGACGGGAGCGAACCAGTCACAACGTCGGAGACGTGGGATCGTTCCCCGTCGCCATCTGCACCGCCCAAACGTACTCCTACTGTGTGTGCGTCGGCCCCGCAAGGGAGACGGGCACGCTCATAGATCTTACAGTGCAAGCTCCGCGGCGGGCACTTTCGGGCCATCCCGTTCGGGAAACGATGCTCAATGGTATTCGTGTGCTGGTTATACTTTCGGGTCGGACGTGCGCCTAGAACAACAGCACAGAGCAAGCTGCTCGCGTAAGGTCGCGCGTGAGCCCTCTCGCTTCCAGCGTACCGTGCCGCGCTGTCCGCGTAAGCTGCGGCGTAAGGTTTGCTTTCGTCGCTCACAGAGTGCTCGGCGGCCCGGCTGTACGAGCCTCGTACAGTCGGGCCGCCGAAGAAGGACCCCTTTTCGTTGGGCAGGGGCCCAGCGTTCCTTAATGTGTTTGCAGTTTTTCTCAGGTTGTCCTCAGGTTGCCCATGGGCAATCGAAGCTTGACTTCTGGGGAGCAGAGGCCTCGCTCCTGGTTTGGGGTTCCTTAGGACAGAGCGTTTCGACTGCACGCCCTCCTGCGCCCCACCATCAGGGCAGCATCCCTCAGGGCCCCACCCTTGAACCGCCGAGCCCAGAGCCGCGCGCGAGGCGCCCCTCGCGGAGGCCCAGCGGGCCCTCTCTGGCGCCCTCGCCGAGGCCTTCGCGGGCCTCCACCGCGCGCAGCAGATCCTCGATGCGGACCTCTGCGGCGCCCTCGCCGAGGCGGGGCTCCTCGGCGAGCGGCCCGGCGCCCCGAGCGCGCCGCCGAGCTCGAGGAGCAAAAAACCCCACCTCCTCGTGTCGTGAGCGAAATAGCGTCGGGAGGGTTTTGGTCATTTTCGGCCTCTGGGGGGCCCGCACCAGGCCCTGGGACCATCAAATAGCGACCCTGGACGAAAAGCCGATCCTGGGGAATGGGCCCAGACCCTCGGGGGGGGGGTCCGCGATGTGTTCGGAATCACGACATCGGGGGTCTGGGAACGGCATGGGCATAAACTTTTGCAGCTCTGCGCGGGTTTCTTGGGTCTGCGCCAGGCCCCCCCTACCCGGCGCGCCTCCAGCGCGTCAGGGGCGGCGACGGAGGCGCCGTCAGGGGTTCCTATAGGGGGCGTTCAAGGGGGGGGGGGGGGGGATGATCAGGGGGGTGGATCTCATGGCGGGGGCCATCATATCTCCCTGCATCATCTCATGGCCCCCTCTTCTCTATCTCCATGCGCCCCCTTTGCCCCCCCCCCCCCCCCGGGTCGCGCACGTGTCTCGGGCCATGCCTTGCGCACCTCCCTCTTGGACGCCTCCCTCCTGGACGCCCCCGAGCCCAGGCGCCGATCCCGAGAAGTCCGCGCGGAGCTCCGCAAGCTTATTCTGGACGGGGCGTTCATCAAGGGCGGGGGGTGGTTGACCTTCTGACGGACCTCGCCATTCTACTTCCTCCTCCTCTTCCTCCTTCCTCTCCTTCTCCTCCTCTCCTCCTCCTCGTCCTCCTCCTCCTCCTCCTTCTTCCTCTCCTCCTCCTCCTCTGATCCTCCTCCTCCTCCTCCTCCTCCTCCTCGTCCTCCTCCTCCCTCCTCCTCCTCCTCCTCCTCCTCCTCCTCCTCCTCCTCCTCCTCCTCCTCCTCCTCCTCCTCCTCCTCCTCCTCCTCCTCCTCCCCCCCCCGTCGCCGCTGCCGCCTGTGGCTGTGTGTTCCTCTGCTTGAACCTCGTGCCCATTTTTGGGCGCGCGCGAGGCCATCCTAGAATCCTAGAACACTCCTCCTCCAATCCCCCCCCGCTGATCCAGGAGGGGTGTGGACGGTGGTTGACCTTCCGACGGAGCTCGCCCATTCCCGCCATTCCCCCCCATACCTCCTCCTCCTCCTCCTCCTCCTCCTCCTCCTCCTCCTCCATTCCTGTTCCTTGAAACTAATTCCTCCCTGTCGCATCTCGAGGCCAGTCGGAAGGGCAGGCAGGGCGTTTCGCTTGAGACTTCCTCACCGTTTATGAACCTCAAGCTCAACAACTGGCAACAGTTTCACATATGGATGGCGGGTCGCTTCCAAAATGTGGCTCTCGCTTTAGCGCCGCGCACTTTCGTCGTAAACATTTGCAAGAATTCCACGGATTGAGGCCGGGCCGTTTTCAAAATGTGGCTCTCGCCGTAGCGCTCTGCATATTCGTTTTAAACATTTGCAAGAGTTTCACGAATTGAGGGCGATTCGTTTTCAAAATGTGGTTCTCGCCGTAGTGCCACGCACATTCGTCTGAAGCAGTTGCAAGAGGTTCACAGATTCAGGGTGGTTCCCTTTCAAACTGGCTCTCGCGTTCGCGCCCCGCACATTCGTCGTGAACAAATGCAAGGGTTTCACGGATTCTCATGGTCAGCGTGCCACAAATACTATTTTGGAATGATTCAGGACTGTCAGGGCGAAGCAATTACGTTGATTCGCGGTGTTGAAGTCTCAGTAATGGTGTTCTGGCGCGACAGTCAGGTTGGATCGGGGCGTTGCAGTCCCGAGAATGCTGTTTTGGCTCGCTTCGGGATCTTCAAACGATTGTCTCCCAACGGGGCACTTCCTTCAGTGGAAATGCATCCTTGTAGGGGACTTCGAAGAGGGAGCTTGGAGGGAGAGTTTATTCCAACAGCGTTGATGAGTCTTGGGTTTGCACTGGTCCTCCTCCTCCTCCTCCTCCTCCTCCTCCTCCTCCTCCTCCTCCTCCTCCTCTCCTCCTCCTCCTCCTCCTCCTCCTCCTCCTCCTCCTCCTCCCTCCTCCTCCTCCTCCCCCTCCCCTTCTTTCCTCCTCCTCCTCCTCCTCCTGCTTCCCCCTTCTTTCCTCCTCCTCCTCCTCCTCGTCCTCCTCCTCCGCCTCCCCCTCCTCCTCCACCCCCCCCACGGATCCAGGAGGGGGGCGATCTATTGCCCCACCCACAGTGTGCTCGTGCGCCGTTTTTTTTTTTGCTGCTCGACGAGCGGGCCTCCGCCGGCGCCGCTGCTGCCCGGGGAGGTGCCCGCCGCGCCCTGCTGCGAGGCCCCGGCTGCACGTGAGAGGGGCCCTTCGCCCGAGTGGCCTTCGCCACGGGGGAGGCGGGTCCTGAGCTCCAGGCCTCCTGGAGGAGGTCCGAGTGGATGGGGTCGGGGGATCTCGCCGCATCGCCCATGCCTCGGCGACGTGGCTCGACGTGGAGCCCGTGTTTCTCCACGCAGGCGTCTCCGATGCATCGCCGACGTCGCCGACGCATCGCCGACTGCACCCGCCGCACATCGGCGACGCATTGGCGAAGCGGCGCGATCCTTCGGCTCCATCTACTCGGATTCCATCTAGGAGGCCTTTGTGAGCTTAGCTACCCTGATACGCCCGTCTTGAAACGCAGCACGTGCCGTGTTCACAACGTCCGTGCTCACGCGCTGCGTGCTGGCTCAATGTGTTGGCCCACGTTTTGGCGAACGCATCGCGCCAAGCGCTATTTTGCAATCTACGCGTCGAGCTCCGCGTCAGCACGCCGCGTGTTGCGTGTTGCGTACTGGGGCGGCTAAGGTCCTGAGAGAAACGGGCCCGGAGTCTTTTCGCCGCGTTCGGGCTGTCGGGGCCCTCCCCTGGCCCCGGGGACCGTCCGAGAACGGCTCGGGACGAAGGCTTCGTTCTGGGGGAGACGGCCCCAGGACCCATTTTCGGCCCATGCCAAGGCCTTTGCCAGCCGGGCTCGGGTGGGGCGCTGGTTTTCAGGCCGGGGAGCCTGCTCGAAGCCGAGGCTCGCCGTGGCCAGAAACGCCCCTTCGTTCCTTATTCAGCGTTCCTTACGTTAGCACGATGACCGTAAGACTCGAGTTCGCTGGAGCTCGGGTTTACCGACGCTCTTTGACGAGCCCGTGCTGGATTTTGACGGTCCAGCCTTAGTGGGATGCTTGCAGCGGGAGCTCGCGTCAATTTCAGATTGGGTCTCGTCATTTTCCTGACGGCCCCGTCAGGTCAACCCGAGTCCCCTTAACCCGAGTCTTACGTATCCCCGACTTTGGCGCGGGCCCATGGGGGTCTCCCAGGCCCACCACTGACCTCCCCTGAGACCCGAGACCCCGTCGCGTTGTGAGAAAAATTGCGGCGGGAGGTCTTTCTAGATTTTCGTCGGACCCGGGGGGCCCTTACTGGGGCCTGGGACCGTCGCACGACGACTGAGGATGATAAACCGTTTCTGTGGAAAAGGGTCGGGACTTCGGGGGAACGAGTGTTGAACAAATCACGGCATCGCATGTCTGGCGTTATTGGGAGTAGCGAAACTCCAGCATTGACCTTCCCCGAGATCATGGCGTCGCAATTCTTCCGCGCCGGGCGATCTCGCCCGACTTCGGGCCCCCAGACCCTGGCAGCTCGACCTGCCCCGACGAGTGGCGCAGGGAGAGGTCGTCCTGGGGGCTCCCGGCGCGAGCTTTCGCGCAGGCTGCGCTCTCTCCGCGGCGTCGCACGCCAGGGCCCGGTTCGGGCTCACGCAGGGTCCCCCCAGCACTGGCCTGCGCGCTCGGAGCTGGCCCCCGCGGATTTCCCAGGAGCGAGGCCGCCATGCGGTCCACTCCCCAGGCATGCGAGGCCTGTGCTTTTTCGAGCGCGGTCCCCACCGGGGCTGGCTTGGCTGTCGCGAGCGGTTTCTTGACAGCCCCCCCCCGTCGTGATCTTCCTCCACGACGCGAGCGTGTCTGGCTCCTGGGTCTGACCTTGCAAAACACATGCAGCGTCGCGAAAAACTCGCGACTGGAGCTCTCCAGTGGAAACCCATGCCAAGACACACCCTGCTTGCCTCCAGTGTGCCCTGGGTTTCTTGGGTTTCGATGCTTCTGCTATGGAAAGCGTGACGTTCCCACACCAACAATGGAAGTCCTGGGGTCTAAGGGGTCCGTTTCTTGTGGAAGGTTTCTCGTAGTCGAGCTCCTACTGTAGACCGTCACCACATATTCCTGCATCATCTTTCGAGCCAGATCTGCCTTTGAGGGTCCTGGTGCCCAAATGGGGGAAGAAACGCCCAGTGACAAAAAACTGCAACGCCCAGATCTGAAAGCCATGGCATTTTTTTTAATTTTTTTATTTATTTTTTTTTAAATGACGCGAGCATGCTTGGCTCCCCAGACCTCCGACGTCGTGCTTCTTTCCTGGCGTGGGCCTCCCGAAGTCTGGACCCTTCCTGGGGACCAGCTTTTCATCCTGAGCAGTTCTTTTCCTAGGGGGGGGAGGGGGAGGGGGAGGGGAAGGAGGAGGAGGAGGAGGAGGAGGAGAAGGAGGAGGAGGAGGAGGAGGAGGAGGAGGAGGAGGCCCGCTGAGAGCCACCGGAGGTCGAAAACCATCACCACTCGTCGATCCTGTTTTTTCCACGACGCGAGCATGCCCTGCCCGTGCGCGCCGCCGAGAGGCCCCGCTGCTGGAGGCCCGCTGCTCCTCCAGCGCGTCGCCCGCAGCGCGCGCCGGCCTGCGCGCGGCCGCGGCCGGCGCCGCAAGCGGCGCGCTGGAGCCCGGCCGCGAGCGGGCGCCGGCCGAGGATCAGGGGCAACGTTAGGGTCGTGGAGGACGATCCATGGAGAGGAAGCATGTTGCCAAGTAATTTCCAGATGTCTACAATATGTTCCAAGCAGGTGAAAAAAAACATGTTTGAAACGGGTTTAGGACATTTTCAGATAAACACATGTTAAATTCAATGATAGGACTGTTAGGGTGTCCATGGTCGTGGCATCCACAACGTTAGGGGGGACAGGCTCCCCAGACCACCTCGCGTTGTACCAAAAATCACGACGGGAGGTTTTTCTGTATTTTCGGCCTTCGGGGGTCCCCACCGGGCCTCGGGACCGTCAGAAAACGACTCAGGGGGGAAAACCGGTCCCAGGGAAGGGGTCCAGACCTTTGGGGTCGACGTTGTGGAAAGATCACGATGTTTGGGGACAGGCTCAGGGGCTTCCCAGCGGTTCGAGGTTCGATGCTTTCCAGCCTCGGGATGCTTTGCAGCAGCCGCGCCTCGCCGAGAGCGGTCCGCGGGTGCCCGGATCGTCCCGAACGGCCGCCGGAGACCCGAGCTATGAACCGAAAACTGGACGACGAGGATCTTTGGGGGGATAGGCTCAGGGGGGGAATGCATGGGCCCCGGAAACGGCAGGGCCGTTTTTTCACCGTTTCCCCCAAAAATGTCCCTTGAAAATGGAAACGGCAAAAAAACGGCGACCGGAAACGGTAAAAAAACGGCTCCAGGATTGGAACCGGAGCCGGAACCGGTCAAACAACGGCGACGGAAGCGGTAACAAAAACGGCGTCGGAACCGGCAACAAAACGGCAAAACGGAACCGGTAAAAAAACGGCCTTGTCGTTTCCACGGCCCACTAAGGCATGGACCCCCGATCGCCCATGGATGGCCCACCCCGCCCATGAGCGTGGGGATCTGCTATCTGGGGCCGATCGCCGACAGATCGACAATGTTCCGGATGGGAAGAAACACACAGACAGAATTAATCGTCGATTCCCCAGAAAATAGGGGAAGCTATGGGAAGTGGGGGAAGACAAAAGCCCAGAAACTGTGGGAAAACAGGGGGAAACTATGGGAAGTCGGGGGGAAGACGAACACCCCGAAGGTGTGGGAAAATAGGGGGGAAGTCCGGTTCTTTGTGCCCATTTGTCCCTGTGTGCCCCAGGGCCCCTTCCAAGGTGTCGCCGGCTCCAGGTCCGGGCCGCCGTCCCCGGCGCGCTCCGCGGCCGCCCCCGCTGCCCAGAGCAGCCCTGCGCGCGGGGGGGCGCGCGGGCCTGCAGCGCCCCGCGCGCGGGCCGCCGCGGCGGCCTGCAGCGCGTGTGAGCATCCAGCGTTAAGTCGGGCCTGTCCCCCTACAGGGGGATTTTCTACGAAAAATGAAAAATACACCGAAAATAGTCAAAAGATAATGCAAAAATAGTCTGGGGAGTATTTTTGGAGTATTTTTGGGACTTTTTGGGGGTATTTTTTGGGTATTTTTTTTATTTTTCGTGGAAGATCCCCCTGTAGGGGGACGCCCGACATAAATCCAGCGGTCGGCGCGGCCGGGCGCCCGGGGCCGAGCCCTGGGGCTGCGCTTCGGGGGCGGCGGCGCGGCCGCCGTGCTCGCCAGGTCGACGTGTGCCCCCCCCCCTGGTGATCCTGGGTCGCGGGGGGGGGGGGGGGGGAGCCCGGCCCCATTCGCGAGGCCGTCGCGGAGCTCGCGGGCGTGCGCGTTGTTCACGTCTAACTCTTCGGGAGGTCTTGGATTTTTTTGGGGCCAGGATCCTTTCATTTCTAGTTGGTCTATCCTGGGCCTCTTCCTGGCCACTATGGGGCCAGGAACAATTAGAAACGAGCACAATTAGAAATGAACACAATTAGAAATGAACGCCGGGGGGGCAACCCTGGTTCATGCATCGCCGGTTCCATGTCGATGTGGCCCCCCCCGAGCTGGCCCCCGCTCTCGGATAGAGGATCGGCAACATAATTGATTTCCTCCAGGATGTGTTTCCCGCCGAAGATGCAAGCAACGCGGAGCATGTTCGTCGATCTACGAGCCATTATGCGCACTTTCCATAGATTCGGCAGGGAAATCAATCTTTGGGTGAATCAATTCTGTAGTCGATCCCCTACTCGTTCCCCAGCGTTGCCTCAGAGGAGCCGGCGCGGGCTGCAGGAGGGCTGCGGCTGCCCACCTCCTGCTTCCCTCGGCTGCAGCACAGGTCGTGTGAGGGCAAGAGGTCAAAACCGATGCGGTCGGGCCGAGGTATAAAGATCGAGGTCGGTTCGGGGAGGGTGCCCTACTGTTCTTCGTGTTTGTTGGATGTTCTTGCACGTCCTGGGGGGGGACCCTCGAGTGATCTCATGGTTTTGGGGTGTTCTGGCTGGCGGAGGGTCTCATGTTCTTGAGGGGCGTTCTTCTGTCCTAGGTCCGACCGTATACGGGAAGCAAGCAGAGACATACGCAAAACCATTTTCGGGTGTCCGCGGGGATTTGTCGGATCTGCGCTGGACCTCCCCGGGCGGACGTCTGACATTTTATGTCAATTATGTCATCGATTGTTCCTCGGGATACGTCGCACCCCGCAATTGTGGGGCGTCCGCGGGGTGGGTCGCGGGTAGTCGCGGGGTGGGTCGCGGGGTGTGTCGCGGGTGTGTCGCGGGGGGTGTGGGGGACGACACGACAACAAAAATAACTTGAAGGCTGTTCGTTCTTACCTGTTCGTGCGTCACTCAGAATGTATCCCAAACCCTTGATATCCGCCCTGTGCGTCCTCGATTGTGCTCCCCCTCGGGGGTACATCTTCCTTGCCTGTCACGTGCAGTTGGCGCAGCCCCCAAAAGGCACGGATGGCTTTCGCCAGGGTTGGCTTTCACCGGGCTTCGTTTCGCTGGGCTTCGTTTCGCCGGGCTTCGTTTCGCCGGCGTTGGCTTTCGCCGGGGTTGGCTTTCGCCGGGGTTGGCTTCCGCCGGGGGTTGGCTTTCGCCGGGGTTGGCTTTCGCCGGGGTTGGCTTTCGCCGGGTTGGCTTTCGCCGGGGTTGGCTTTCGCCGGGGTTGGCTTTCGCCGGGCGCCGCTTGAGTAGGCGAAAGGGTTGCAGAGACGTGGGGGGGTTGTCAGGGAGGTCCCGGATGCGTCAGAGCAGTTGACGCATCGCCGACGGGTGGGCGACAAGGCCCCTCAGACAGGGAGGCCGCGCGTTCCCGGGCAGGGCGGGGCGCTCCGGCGCCAGTCGAGTATGAATGGATAATGGCGTATCCATGTCTCCTGTCCCCTCTTAGCGATTTCTTGCGTCGGACCGCTTGCGGAAACGGCTGGCGGTCGGTGGCGGTGCCAGCTGGTGGGGGCGTGGGCCCGAGACTTCCGACGCCCAGGAAAAGCAAAACGGTCAGTTTTTTGGGCCGGGGTCGGCCTCAGGGAGGCCATGACGTCCTTACCTAGGACGCGCCAGGATAAAAGTATGTCCTTGGGAACGACTGCGGACCCCAGGGAGCCGCCGGCGTAAACAAATCCGGGGGTCGGAGGTCAGGGCCGGAAATCGCCGTGCAGGAGTAGGTGAGGGGGCGGGGGCGCGGCGAGGAAGGAAGAGGCTCGAGACCCTTGTTGCAGGGCGGGCAGCGGGCAGCGCACGGACGGGCAGGGGGCAGCGCCGAGCACAGAAACCCACCAGGCGGACCCTAAAGGGAGGGTCCGCTCGGGCGGGCGGACCCTGACGGGCGGGACGGGTCGGGTCGGGTCGGGCGGACCCTAACGGGCGGGTCGGGTCGGGCGGGCGGGACACGAAAGCGTGGGGCGCGCTCGAGTGAGCACGCGTGAACCCTAACGGGCGGGTCTGCTCGGGACGGGCGGATCCTAACGGGCGGGGCGGATCGGGTCGGGTCGAGCAGACCCGAACGGGCGGGTCGGGTCGGGCAGGCGGGACACTAAAGTGTGGAGGCGCGCTCGAGTGAGCACGCGTGAAACCTCACGGGCAGGTCGGTTCGGGCGGGCGGATCCTGATTGGCGGAGCGGGTGGTCGGGTTTGGCGGACCCTAACGGGCGGGTCGGGTCGGGCGGGCGGGACACCAGAAACTGCGGGGCGCGCTCGAGTGAGCACGCGTGAGCCCTAGCGTGCGGGTCCGATCGGGCGGGCGGACCCCAACGGGCGGGACGGGCCGAGCGGACTCTAACACGTGGGTCTGGTCGGGCGAGCGGACCCTGACGGGCGGGGCGGGTCGGGTCGGGTCGGGCGGACCCTAACGGGCGGGTCGGGTCGGGCGGGCGGGACACTAAAGTGTGGAGGTCGGTGAAGCGGAACCCTAACGGGCGGGTCGCGTGAAACGGGGGTCGGGTCGGGTACGGGCGGGTCGGTCGGGTCGGGCGGGCGGACCCTAACGGGCGGGCGGGTCGGGCGGGCGGTCCTGACGGCGGGACGGGTCGGGTCGGGACGGGCGGACCCAACGGCGGGACGGGATCGGGGTCTGGCGGACCCTAACGGGCGGGTCGGGTCGGGCGGGCGGGACACTAAAGTGTGGGGCGCGCTCGAGTGAGCACGCGTGAACCCTAACGGGCGGGTCGGGTCGGTCGGGCGGACCCTAACGGGCGGGGCGGATCGGGTCGGGTCGAGCAAACCCTAACGGGCGGGTCGGGTCGGGCAGGCGGGACACTAAAAGTGTGGAGGTACGCTCGAGCGAGCACGCGTGAACCCTGACGGGCGGGTCGGGTGGGGCGGCGGACCCTGACGGGCGGGACGGGTCGGGGTCGGGCGGACCCTAACGGGCGGGTCGGGTCGGGCGGGCGGGTCGGTCGGGCGGGCGGTCCCTGACGGGCGGGACGGGTCGGGTCGGGACGGGCGGACCCTAACAGGCGGGACGGGATCGGGTCAGGCGGACCCTAACGGGCGGGTCGGGTCGGGCAGGCGGTTTAAAGTGTGGAGGCGCGCTCGAGTGAGCACGCGTGAAACCTAACGGGCGGGTCGGGTGGGGCAGGCGGACCCTGACGGGCGGGCAGGGTCGGGTCGGGTCGGGCGGACCCTAACGGGCGGGTCGGGTCGGGCGGGCGGGACACTAAAGTGCGGGGCGCGCCCGAGCGAGCACGCGTGAACCCTAACGAGCGTGGTCGGGTCGGGTCGGGCGGACCCTAACGGGCGGGGCGGATCGGGTCGGGTCGAGCAAACCCTAACGGGCGGGTCGGGTCGGGCAGGCGACACTAAAGTGTGGAGGGACGCTCGAGCGAGCAAGCGTGAACCCTAACGGGCGGGGCGGGTCGGGCGGGCGGACCCTGACGGGCGGGACGGGTCGGGTCGGGTCGGGCGGACCCTAACGGGCGGGTCGGGTCGGGTCGGGCCGTGCGGACCCTAACGGGCGGGTCGGGTCGGGCGGGCGGACCTGACGGGCGGATCGGGGTCGGGACGGGCGGACCTTCGGGTCGGGCGGAACCGAACGGGCGGGTCGGGTCGGGCAGGCGGGACACTAAAGTGTGGAGGCGCGCTCGAGTGAGCACGCGTGAACCCTGACGGGCGGGTCGGGTCGGGCGGCGGACCCTGATGGGCGGGACGGGTCGGGTCGGGTCGGGCAAACCCTAACGGGCGGGTCGGGTCGGGCAGGCGGGACACTAATAAAGTGTGGGGCGCGCTCGAGTGAGCACGCGTGAACCCTAACGGGCGGGTCGGGTCGGGTCGGGCGGACCCTAACAGGCGGGGCGGATCGGGTCGGGTCGAGCAAACCCGAACGGGCGGGTCGGGTCGGGCAGGCGGGACACTAAAGTGTGCAGGCACGCTCGAGTGAGCACGCGTGAACCCTAGCGGGCCGATCGGGTCGGGCGGGCGGACCCTAACGGGCGGGACGGGTCGGTTCGGGCGGTTGGGCGCGCCGGAACGAGCACGCGCGAACTCGGGTCGGGCGGACCCTAACGGGCGGGTCGGGTGAGGTGGGCGGGACACTAAAGTGCTGGGGCTCGCTCGAGTGCGCACGCGCGAACCCTAGCGTGCGGGTCCGATCGGGCGGGCGGACCCTAACGGGCCGGGCGGGGCGGGCGGACCCTAACGGGCGGGTTGGGTCGGGTCCAGCCAACCGGCCGCGGGCAAGAGAAGTCAGAGGAAGACGGGAGAAAGAGGAGCAGCAGCAGCGGCAGCATGAAAGAACAGGAGCGGGAAGAGGAGAAGAGGGAGAGGAGGGCGAAAACGAGCTCAGGCGAAAACGAGCCCAGGCGACAGCCAACCCGGGCGAAAGCCAACCGGGCGAAAGCCAACCCGGGCGAAAACCAACCGGGCGAACGCCAACCCGGGCGAAAGCCACCCCGGGCGAAAGCCACCCGGGCGAAAGCCAACCCGGGCGAAAGCCACCCCGGGCGAAAGCCAACCGGGCGAAAGCCAACCCGGGCGAAAGCCAACCTGGGCGAAAGCCAACCTGGGCGAAAACCAACCCGGGCGAAAGCCAACCGGGCGAAAGCAAACCCGGGCGAAACGAACCGGGCGAAACGAACCGGGCGAAACGCACCGGGCGAAAACCAACCCGGGCGACAAAACATCTACGCCCCCCAAGACAGGCAAGAGGGGGAGGGAAGGGACAAGGGGGAGAGAGAAGGATGGCACACGACAGATAGTCAGGAGCAGAAAGACAAGCGGTACTACCAGACGGGCGGGTCGGGCTGGCGGACCCTGACGGCCGTGTCTGGCGAGCGGGCCCAGACGGCCAGGTCCAGCGGGCGGGTCGCTGAAGCGTCAACCTAACATGAATCGCGAGGAAGCTTCGAGCGAAAGCGGTATTCCCAAGCAAGTCGTGAGGAAATCTTGGGCGAGAGCGTGATTCCTGGGTGTCTGGGGCGCGCCGCCGCAAGAAATTGCGAGGAAGTGCCACGCGAGAGGGCGCGACTCCTGCGTAAGTTGTGAGGAAGTCCCCCGCGAGAGACCGACTTCTTCAATACAGTGTGAGCAAGTCTCAGGCTGGAGCCGCGAGCCCCAGAAGGAACATTTGATTTGAAGAATCCAGATGGGCACCTGGGAGGGGGGGTCAACAATAATCGTTCTGTAGAATGGAGAACTCAACAACAGCACCACCACCAACAACAACACCACCATCGCCACCAACAGCAGCAGCAATAACAGGCACAACACCAATAGTAACAGTAACAGTAACAGTAACAGTAACAGCAACACCAACAACAACAGGCGCGAGCGCCCTTCCTGAGGTTCGGACCCTCTCTGGCCAGAGCGTCTCTGAGTAATTTTTGAGCCAGTATCGCACGGGGGCATTGTTGTTGTTGTTGGTGTTGTTGTTGTTGTTGTTGTTGTTGTTGTTGTTGTTGTTGTTGTTGTTGTTGTTGTTTATGTTGTTTATGTTGTTTATGTTGTTTATGTTGTTGTTGTTGTTGTTGTTGTTGTTGTTGTTGTTGTTGTTGTTGATGTTGTTGATGTTGTTGTTGTTGTTGTTGTTGTTGAACTCGAATTATTGAATGATTATTGTTGATCCCCCCTACGGTGACCATTGTATTTTTTCAATTGAAGTGCGTCACACGGGGCTCGCACCCTGTATTTATCAGGGAGAGTCACGGGGCTCAAGATGTGTTGTTGGCCCCTGGTTTACAACAACAACGGCTCCCGCCTGATCTGTCCTCCCAATTTATTCCCAAGTCGCGCTCTCGGGCCGGACTTCGTCACACAATGTATACGAATCGTGCTCTCGCGTAGGACTTTCCGGCAGTTTACTCAGACGATGCGCCCTCGGCGCTCAGGAATCACGCTCTTGTTTTGGCTTTTCTCACGATTTACTTGGGAATCGCGCTATCGTTCGAGATTTCCTCGCGATTCATGTAGGACCACGCTTCAG